ATGAAAAGTCCAAGAGATAAACTAGGATTTGCAGTAGCTAGTTGAAATTGGGCAACCCTCAAAATGTCTGAATCTCAGTTAACGGTGAAAACAGGAATACGAAATCTGGAATTGTTGTGATGATTTTATTACATAATAATGTTAAATTGTCTAGGACAAGTATATATTAGCACATATAATGAGCTGCTTATAATGAGTCTCATTCCCCACCCTCCCTACAAAATACAGAAATTAAATTATTCTTCAACATATGATTCCAATATTCCTTGAGACAATGTGTCCTGTCCACTACAGTATAAAGCTCCAGTTTCTTGATTCACTTGGAAATAATTTCTGGACTATTTCTAATAAGGATTAACAGGAAGCTCTGAAGATGAAATAAACCGAGTATGAGTAGCCCAGAAACCATTCCCTATTTTATAGCTACACAGTAATATATTACATTGATTTGAATTTTTACTATTTTGAATTGTTTTCTAATATAGCTTTCATTGTGTAATAAAACTACAATTACATTAGCACTTAGCACAGTACCTGGCACATAATATTCACAAGATGGTGGGATGAATAAATAATGAATGAATCAAATACTTTCTAAAGATATTTGTGAAAAATAATTAAGGGATTAATGCAATATTTATGTGCAACTGCAATAAAAATACTACATAATTATTAAGAAAAGTTATGCAGCCCTGATAGGTTTGCTCAGTGGTTAGAGCGCTGGCCTGCGGACTGAAGGGCACATACCTTGGTTGTATCCCCCAGCCCTGGTTGGGGGCATGTGTGGGAGTCAACCAATAGACGTGTCTCTCTCACATAGATGTTTCTCTCCCCCCCTCTCTTCCACTCTCTCTAAAAAAAATAAATGGAAAGAATATCCTCAGGTGAGGATTAACAACAACAACAACAAAAATGTTATTCGGTTTTATAATAAACTTTCAGAAGAATATCGTTGATTGAGTCATCATTTGAATCTAGCCCACATTTGTTTAAATTTATAGTCAACTCATTTTGTATGGTTCAGGTGATTAATTTATACATACAGAAGACTTACAACAGTAGTTTACAAATGAAAATGGGTTCAAAGTTATCAATGAATCTTTTTAGAAAAGTGAAAAAATGAGATTGCCTTATGTAACACCAAATGCTTAGTAGATAAATGCATTTTCCATGTGAATAAGAAATGAAAAGTTAAGATTCATCCATTCTTTCCCAAGATATCTAGCATCAAACTCTTCTGTCTAAACTTCCTCCTGGCTGCCAAGGTTGGTCCATCACCATTGTAAAATCAGTGCTTTAAATTTCAGGATCAGCTCACCAAAGTCGTTAATAACTAAGGCTTGCTCAGGTGTCAGCCTCTGCATCACAGGACAGAATATAAATGCCAAGTAACAAGATTTTTACAATGAATCTTACCATTTTCTCACAGTCATATTAGCCTCAGTCACCAACAAAAACTCATAATTGTGTGCCCTTTCAGTCAATCTCAAAACTCCATAAGCATCATTTCTGTTATTATTATACTACATTAGTAGTACCCTTTATCCAACTTCATGTAAAACAGTGGTTCTCAACCTTCTGGCCCTTTAAATACAGTTCCTCATGTTGTGACCCAACCATAAAATTATTTTCATTGCTACTTCATAACTGTAATGTTGCTACTGTTATGAATCGTAATGTAAATATCTGATATGCAGGATGGTCTTAGGTGACCCCTGTAAAAGGGTCGTTCGACCGCCAAAGGGGTTGGGACCCACACGTTGAGAACTGCTGATGTAACGGGACTCATGCAGTATATATTCATTTGTGTCTAGTATTTCTTTTTATCAGACAAAAGAGGTTGAAATTTATCTACTCTATTGTGTGTATCAATACTGTATTCCTTTCATGTTGTGAAGCATCCCATATTTTGACTTTAATGTACTTTGTATATATATTTTCCTATTGTTAGAGATTTGGATTGTTTCCAATGTTTGGCTCTTATTAATAAAGTTACAAATAATATTATCTAATAAAACTTTTTGTGGACATATGTTTTTTTTAATTTTATTAATTTATTTCTTATTTTTATTGAATTTATTGGGGTGACATCCTATATAATAGAGATAATATGCAAATTGACTGTCACACCCTCGCACAAGATGGCCTCCCCCATGTGGTCACAAGATGGCTGACAAGGGAGGGCAGTTGGGGGAGACCGGGCCTGCAGGGAAATGGTTAGGGGCAATCAGGCAGGCAGGCAGGTGAGTGGTCCCGGATTGTGAGGAGGATGTCCGACTGCCGGCTTAGGCCTGGTCCCCCAATTGGGCCTAAGACATTCCCCGAGGGGTCCCAGATTGGAGAGGGTGCAGGCTGGGCTGAGGGACCCCCCCCCCCGCACAGAACACAAATTTTATGCCCCAGGACTCTAGTTATCTAATAAAATTATATAGATTTAATATATACAATTCTAAAATACATCATCTATACATTGTATTGTGTGTTCACTACCCCAAGTCAAGTCTCCTTCCATCACTATTTATCTTCTCGTTACCTTCTTCTCCTTCTCCCCATTACCATTTCCCTCTAGTAATCACCATACTGTTGTCTCTATGAGTTTTTTTGTTGTTGTTTTTTTGCTTAATACCCTCACCTTTTTTACCCAGTACTCCAACCCTTCTCTCCTCTGACAGCTATCAATCTGTTCTCTGTATTTATGAGTCTATTTCTATTTTGTTTGTTAGTTTATTTTGCTCCTTAGATTCCACATATAAGTGAAATCACAAGGTCCTTGTGTGCTTTTCTGGTTTGTGTGTGTGTGTGTGTGTGTGTGTGTGTGTGTGTCTGTGTGTGATTGGTATCTGGTTTCCTACCAAATGGCTAAAGAAGATGCTTGTTCAATAGAGACATTTAAAAGTACAGAATCCTAAGAAATTCTTTAGCTGTATTCACTAAACGTTAATGTGTTTAGTTATTATACAATGAAAATATTTTTCTACTTTTGGTGATTTTTAAAACATTCTTTAATCCTCACCCAAAGATATGCTTTTATTTATTTTAGAGAAAGAGAAGGAGATGGGGGGAGAAAGAAACATATATATCAGAGAGACACATCTATCTGTTGCCTCCTGAATGCATCCCGAAACCTGAATATATGCCCTGACTGACTAGGAATCGAACCTGTGACCTTAAGGGAAATGGGATGACGCTCCAACCAACTGAGCCACCAGAGCAGGGCTTTTTGTTATTTTTAAAATATCCATGGTTTACTTACAAGTGTATTACTTAATTTCCAAATATTTGCACATTTGATTATTGAGTTCTAGTTTAATTTTATGCTATTTTTAGATCAGAATTTATATGATTTTAATCTTTGAATTTGACTTATTTTATGACTGAACAGATGACTTCTCCTTGGGAATCTTTCTTTTTATAATTTTTTTAAAATTAATTTTAGAGAAAGAGGGAGGAAGAGAGAGATAGAAACATTGGCGAGAGAGAACATGGCTGCCTCCTGCACAGTCTCTGCTGGGGATCAAGACTGCAACCTGGGAATGTGCCCTGACCAGAAATTGAAAGGTGACCTCTTGGTTCATAAGTCACCCACTGAGCACACTGGCTGGGTGATCTTGGGGAAACTTTCAATGTACATGGAAAGCTTAATTTTGCCTTATGGTAGTATTCCAGTAATGCCAATTAGATCAAGATGTTTGAGTCATGTATAAATTATCTAAATTCTTTATTATTCTTTTCTAGTGGACATTCCCCTGATTCACAGACTCTTATATCCAAATGTACGCTATACATGTTAACTGAAGTAGCACAAGTCTTAGAAGCTGTAGCTATTCTATATATCCCTAGGCGGAAACACATTTTATATACTAGTCGATGACCCATATTAAGTATGAAACAGACTTAATAGGAACTCTGCCCAAACTGGCCCCCACCAAGACTAGACTATTTCACCATGTTCCACCACCATTTATCCCTTTGCTCATGTCAGCCACTAAGAATAATCCTCTTCTATCTTATAGCTGACTGCCAACCCATCCAAACACATTAAGTCTGACCAGTCATTAACATCTCTACTGATAAATCTGAAGTTGGACTTGATACCTTCCACTGACTGCCCTCATTGTCCCACCCTTCCCTCCTGGCCTCACATCCCAGCTGTCAAAGAAGAGCCAGATGATCTTGTTAAGTCCTACTCATCTTCCTATTGCAACCAGAACGCATTTAACTCCAGAGGGCCCTACATGAACTGGGCCCTGCATATTTCTCCAACTCACCTCAAACCACTCTTTCCCTTCTTCATCATTCTCTAGACATAGTGGTTTTTGTTTTCCCCTTAATATGTGAACTTTGAGGGTTTGGTACGACCTCATTTTACTACATGGAACAGTTTTCCCCTAGATTATACAGATTTGTTATGGTTGGGCTCTTCCTCCCTATGGAAATCTCAGCACAAATATGAACTCCTCAGAGGAGCCCAAATTCATGTACCAGTACTACCCACAGTCACTTCCTCCATATTTTGCTATTTCATGTTTCTCATGACTTCTTTTTATTACCTGAAACTTATTTATTTATTTATTTATTTATTTATTTATCATTTATTCATTCATTCATTCCTTAGTTCTCTAATTCCTGGAATGCAATATTGTAAGGGGAGGAATTGGGTAAATAGTGTTCAGGGTTCCTGCTGTATGTAATCTCTCTCGTATAGTGCCTTCCAGATGTAATCGTGTTATATCTCCCCTAAACAGGAAAGAAGTACCCACACAATAAATGTTGGTTAATTGAATAACAATCTCTCTGAGTTTGGAAAGAATGCCTAAGAATTTGCTTAAATTATCAGTGATAAATATTCACAGATTTCACTAGGCACATGGCTTTCTCAGAGAAAGCCATGAAAGAAAATATTTCTATAAGTCATTCAATTTTTTTATAACTCTGACTTTTTTTGTTTAACCTAAATCCCTCCACTGTATTTTAAATGAGTTTTTCCTTTCTCTTCCTAGTATATGAAAAACAGCTGGATGCCTCTCTTTGTGGCCTTTCTGTCCTTCAAAGACCATCATGAAGCCAGACCTCTTTCTTCTTTCCAGGATAAATAATTGTGCCATTTTAATACTTCCTGAAGTTCTGAATGCCTACCTCTGAAATCCCTAGCAGGACTCTATGCAGCATTGTCTGTTAGAACTATCAGCCACATGGAAATGTTCTATATTTGTCCTGTCCAATACAATAACCATATGTGCAAAATAAGCACTTGAATGTGAGGAACTAGGGACTGAGTTTTTAAATTAATTGAAATATAAATATCCACCTGTGGTTAGTGGTTACTGAAGTAGCACAAGTCTTAGAAGCTGTAGCTATTCTATATATCCCTAGGCGGAAACACATTTTATATACTAGTCGATGACCCATATTAAGTATGAAACAGAATATAACTTTTAAAGTGGGGGAAAAATCCAACAATACTTAAAGCAAATTTTGAATCTAAGTTCTTATAATTTGACATTAATTATAAAATTGTTGTTAGAGCAATAATTACCTATATCAAAATCTTTTCATTTATAGAATAACCTGACATACTAGTAAGAATCTTGATTTATGGTATGGCAGATTTATTGTAAAAAAAAATTTCATAATCCTCATATATGGCATTTTATATCATTTG